AGAGAGAGAGAGAGAGAGAGAGAGAGAGAGAGAGAGAGAGAGAGAGAGAGAGAAAGAGAGAGAGTGATAGAGAGGGAGAGAGAGGGAGAGAGAGAAAGGGTTAAAACAAACGTGAAAAAATAACTGAGAACGACGATGACGACTTAGCTGTTAATTTTCGCCCGTATCGCCGCTGATCATTGATTACCGATCGTGTGTAACCTTCGTTTCCTTGTCTAACGGCAGCCGATATTATTTTGTAAAGATGATGAAAAATAAATCGACAAATGTGTAACAATGAGGTTGTGAGAATCCTTAATCACGAGCGTTCGCTGCTACGGAGATCAATAAATTATTGAGCAAACGTCTGTGAAGTTACTTGAGGGGATTTCTTTGGTTTTTTCATCATACTGATTAGCGTGTTTGGTATTCTCATTGGTGTTTCTTGGTGGAATGTTTCTTCCGGGGTGGTTTGTGAATTAGCATTGGATTTATTTTAGCTTGTGAGATGTTGGATTATGAATTTGTTAATATTTCTTGTCTCGAAGGAAAGATTAAATGATCTTATGAATTACGGGATAGTTTATGAATTGTTGGAACGAATATTTCAGCTTCCGAACGTGTTGAATTATAAATTCCTTGATATTTTTTATTTCAAAGAAAATTAATTTCTTAATATCTTTTATTTCAAAGAAAATTTAAGTTCTCAATACTTTTTATTTCAACGAAAAGTTCATTTCTTAACATCTTTTGTTTCTGCACTCGATTCTTCGGTTTCGTTTGCCTTTGACACTTTTACTTCTGCAGTACCTGTGACAGAGAAATGACGGTTGATTAAGATTTCACTTGAGAAATTCAAATTCTATGAATATTTCAACATTTTAATTAAAACTCTTCACGCGAGCGTAACGTTTATTACAAGCACAAGTATAAAATGGTTCCCCTGTGATCTTGAAAGATCAGTAGCCCCGGAAACTCAATGACCTCGAGGGCAGAACGATCATCGGGACCATCATTCTCCAAGAAAAAAATTAATTGGATCGAGAGAAAGGATCAACCGAGTGGGTAGGTCATAAAAAACATTCATTTGTCGACTGAAATGCAATATTTGAATGCTCCAAAAAAAGCTACGAATTAAAACAGAAAAACATGTAAGTATTATTCAGAACTGTGATGTCATCCTCTTGTGTCTCTTTTTCTTTGGCTTCTTGTAAAATAATATTGACCTTAATAAGTATAACTTACAGAAATGTTAGTTTTTAATATGTTTATAATGTATTTAAACTATTGTTCGTACTTTCAGTGGATTTTCTATTGGATCCTGTTTCTTCATTTTCACTGGTGATTGTCTTTGGTTTCATTTCATCATTTGGAGAACCTTTCTTTTCTTCCTGTAGCGTTTCCTCTTCAAACGGATTTTGTACCTTCAGCAATGGTTTCAAAAATACATTATTCTCTCCTATGCGTCTCTCAAGTGTCTTTTCATCTGCAGGTTCTGTTACTTCCTGTGTCCCTTCCCGAGTTTTCCGTGTTGCAGCTGCCTCTTGATTATAGTACAACTGTTGATTAAAGTTTTAAAGAATATTTCTTGTGAATACAGAGCAAATAATTATTTTGACACGTTCGTGACATACTGTTACATGGAGACCTAGGTCTAAACTAAATCGAATTCGTTAAGTATAGATCCTGAGTCCAAGTTTCAGGAATTTTTGTAATTTTTCAGATGAAATTTAATTTCCTTGTGTCATTTGGTCTCAGATGGCTATAAGGAACAGTAGCTTACAGAGACTGGTGCCTGAGGCAGATTGGTAGCAGTAATCCGGAAGCCCATATCGTCAGCCGTGTAGTGAGCAGTTTGTATGACGCCAGCGTCATCGATGTAACTGTAACTACCGTGAATTACACCATCCAGTGTTTTGAACTCCGATCTTGCTGAATTGGGAGCACTGTAGCCGAAACTGTACTGGCCATAGCTGTCTTGGTAGTTGAGCAATGGTCCAGCTGGCTTTGCCGAGCAGGAAACCAGCAGGCAGCAGGTTGTCAGAAGAGTCTGGGAAGCAATTAGAATTCTAGCTTCGAGGAATTAGTAATTAATTATTAATTGTACTCTCTAATGATAGAGCGAAAGATAGATTAAAAGAGATTGATTAAAAAGCAATTAAATTTCTAGCTTTGAGGAATTATTAATTAAATATTAATTGCATTCTCTAAAGATAGAGTGAAAGATAGATTAAAAAGATAGGTTAAAGGTTAGCTACGATCATTCAAATTCTATAAATCTATAACATGTACCACATTGATTTACTTTAACCATTTCCACTCAAGATAGATTACATAGATTATCTAAAGCCTAGCAGTGCCAAAAGATCCCATCAATTCACCATCTACAATCTATCCCATCAATCACAATCTATCTCTCAATCTATACATCTATCTCTACCCTACATACTCCATTACTATTTCAATTCTAAGATCACGGGTAACACATCTTGCAATTTTATCTCACCGATCACAATCTATCCCTCAGTCTATCTACCTCCATCCTACATCCTCCACCACCACCTAAATACCAACTCAGCACAAACACTCCTCCCAACCAGCCAAAAATCCACAAAAGGACACCTACACCCAACCACATCCCCAAAACCCTCTAAACATACGTTCCCACCAGCGTCTACGTAAAAATGCCAAAGTTCACGGCGCAGATGGCTAACTATAGAACCCCGAGGAACACTGAACCACCACGTGACACCGATACGCAATCACCGAGGGTGCCAAACTAGGAAGTGCATAGCCGCATGCCTCGCCCACTCATCGGGAACTTACGTATGCGCGCTTCATGTTGGATCCGGTTGTCTTCGAATTTCACCGCGGCGCATAAGACTATTTATATGGCCATCCGCCGATGCACCGAGTCCTCCTCTTCTCCGTCGTTACGGAAACCCAGAACCGGACGATCGGAGGACCAAACGAGACGCGAGAAGAGTAACCAGTCACGCCTGTCTTCAAGGCCTCCGCTGGAATCCGGCTCCGAAAGTGTTTTCAACCACGGAGCTTTTTTACTCGGCGAACGACGCAGCTATGCCCTAATACGACGAGTCTCAGGGCCGTCCAGGGTATCGGCAATAACCCGTTGCTGAGGAGATTCCCGCTGGGAGCGCGACCAGGATGTAAGGAAGAGGCCGTATCACCGATATCTCGCTCGTATTTTCCGCCGGCGCGCAGACGTGGCTCAGTCGTTTCGACGGAGCTAAGGCGATTGGATTACGGGGTGAAGTTTAAGGAAGTTTTCGAGATTCCCTGTGGCTCGCATGCTGATAGGTAACGGCGCGCATCATTCGTTTGATGGGATCCAGAGAATACCGAAGAATGCAAAGTTTCTTTGCTGTTGTCGCGCTGACGACGGAACCTTTTCAACCAGCACTCGAGGATTTCGATGAAACTCATGTGAGACATTGTTCTTGGGGAAATATTTGATACGGGTGTTTTGTTATTGGCCAGTATTATCTTTGGAGGGGTGAGAATATAATTCAAAGTTGAGGGTTGAAGGTATATTGCTTAGAATATCTTTGAAACTGAGGGGTGTAGATAAGAATTAAATTGTTCTTCTTGTAGTGGAGAATTTATATTTCTTTTTTACACCCCCTAGTTTCAGAGATGTATAAGTATAGTTTTAGAATATCTCTGAAACTAGGGGGCACAGAAAACTGTAACTAATTAGTACAGAACTATAACTAATTAGTGGTAATATATCATAAAAATCGAGGAGCCATTATCAGCTCAGACGAGATTCTTAATAGCTTCATTATCTGTACCGGTTAATAAGTAATTCGCATTGTGGAAACACGTTTCAGGGTAATTAATGCAGCGGCGGAGTTATATTTAGATTCGTGTCGGTATCAACAAAGATTCCGTGGAACGCCTTGTCGGTAATTAATAAATTAATTACACGATCAATCAAGTCAAGCCCTTCAAATATTCTTGCCAGTTTAAATTAATTGACATTAAAATTTGTAATAAATTGATACACAACACTACTGATTTAAAAATCATTTATGAAAAACCTTGATATTAATTAATTACACGATTAATCAAGTCAAGCCCTTCAAATATTCTTCCCGGTTTAAATTAATTGACATTAAAATTTTTAATAAATTGATACACAACACTACTGATTTAAAAATCATTTAATAAACGCGGGGAATCAATTCATCAAAACTGGAAGCTGATAAAAAGCTGGATAATAAACCGGAACCAGGTAGCCATTGGAAAAACAAGTTCACGGATCATTTGTCACTCTTCCGTCAATCTTTCAGTCCCGCCTCGTTTGTCGGAAATCGTCGTCGCCCTCGATCGCACCTGCGACGACGCGCGGCTCGATTTGCATGCTATCCTCGACCCGAATTTCACGCAATCGATCTTGACACAATAATACTTTCTGCTACGAAATTACCGATATCAATATGTATCGGTTTCTTGGCGCAACATGTCAGAATGCATCCGCGACACGGCGACCTGTTTGTCAATTTTTCATCGGCTGGACCACAGAGTGGAGCCAAAAATAGCGGGTCGTGTCTTTCGACACCTCGCAGGCAATAATTAAAATTGAAGAAACCGAATACTATTACGTAACATTATCGAATGATCTTTACAATCATTCCAGAACTTCGAATATATTAGAAATTTCAATGAAAAAATATAAGCCAAAAATTAAAGGAAGAGTATAAAATTATGCATCTGTTAAAGTGTGTAAGTTAAAAAAATAGTAAGAAGGGAATTAGGTGAAATCGTTTGAGAAATCGGATGTATCGATGAAGTATTGTAATTATATATAGGTTAGGTCTGTTCTATAGGATATGTACCATGATTATAGGTTAGGTCTGTCATTCTACATTTTCTCAGCAACCCAAAACAGGCCCGATTCTTCAGGATCGAGCGACATCGAGGAAAATAAACAGACACGAACGTTCCAGACAGTTTCTTTATTCCAACTAAAGGCAGCTATTCGTTGGTTATATTTTATAATATAATTCCCGCGTGAATGTTCCCCTTGATGTTCAATAAACAAGCCTTCCGTAAGCTAGAGCAGGCCCAGCGACAGCGAGGACATCCGCGGATTTGGCTGCCTCGTTGGCTAGATTCAATTTTTCGTTCAAATGGGCGGTTACGTGTGCGGCTTTCGCTACAGCAACTTCCGCTGTGTCCTGGACTCGTCCGTCAGGACCAATGGGTGCGCCAGGAACGAGCACAGCGTTGCTTACCAGCGGCACTGACACGGCTGGTGCAGAGGTCACGATGGTTGCTGAAGATCTGACTGCTTCGTTGGCCAGGTTGAGTCTCTCGTTAATCTGTGCGGCTGCGTGAGCTGCCTTGGCTGCTGCCACTTCCGGTGTGTCTTGTACTCTTCCGTCGGGACCTACCGTTGCTCCGGGGACTGTTGATACACCCACCACCAGTGGCCTGGAAAGAATATCAAAAGGTTAAACTCGTCTCTAGATCTATGGAATGAAAGACAGTTGTTCAAATTTTGATTAGCCCCTAGTACCAATGACTTCAGTAGCTAAACTCAATGATAACGGGTTCTCAAATCTAGATGCAACGTTAGATCCATCCCTCTACCTCAGAAGTTGATAATTATTGTTGATTAATGTCATAATCTAACTTACATCTGTTTAGCTACCGCTTAGATAGCTAAGGTGTCTCCAAGGTAGCTATAGCCACCACTTAGATAGCAAAAGCTACTACTTAGATAGCTAAAGCTACCACTTAGATAGCTAAGGTACCACCAAGGTAGCTATAGCCACCACTTAGATAGCTAAAGCTACCACTTAGATAGCTAAGGTACCACCAAGGTAGTTAAAGCTACCACTTAGATAGCTAAGGTACCACCAAGGTAGTTAAAACTACCAGCAAGGTAGCTAAAGCTACCACCATGGTAGCTAAAGCCACAGTCAACCCCAGCTAAGCCCGAAAACCAATATTCACCTGGTCAAATCCGCCGCGACAGACCTAGCAGCCTCATTAGCCAGACTGATCCTCTCGTTGACCTGGGCAGCAGCATGGGCAGCCTTAGCCACAGCGACTTCTGCGGTGTCGACGACCCTACCATCAGGTCCAAGCGGCGCACCAGGTATTAGAACAGCAGCAGGTGCACCAACTACCACCGACGCTGGATTGATCACGGCAGGTTGCAGCGGAGCTAGAGAGGACCTGGCAGCCTCATTAGCCAGGCTGATCCTTTCGTTCAGTTGGGCAGCAGCGTGTTCAGCTTTGGCAATAGCGACTTCAGGGGTATCCAGGACTCTGCCATCAGGTCCGACGGGTGCCCCAGGTGTCAGGGTAGCGATGAGAGGCGAGGAGAGGATGCCCGGCTTGGCCAGGGCGACGGAGATCAATCCAACGAACGCCAAGCCGACTGGCGACATGTTTGAGGCTTGAGACTGATGTTGGTATATTCAGGTGACCCGGTGAACAGAACAGCAGACGTTTCGTGGAGACTAGACGATCGGTGGAGGAGGATCGTTCAGCTCGTACTATGAGCCTAGATTCGTCCTAGATCAGCTTTTATAGGCGGATCGATCGCGTAACAAGACGACCCGCGAGAAAAATCCGCTGGAAGATTGAAATGGTCGAGACGATACCGGAGGATCGATCGATCACGGCTGGTCAGGTGTTTCCGCTACATGGGGCAAGGTAAGCGTGTTTGTAAAACGAGTACGACGGTCTGCGGGTGGCGGCGCCCTGGAAAAATTCTACGGGAGGGCTCCATTTTCGTGTCTCGCTGCGACGAGGCCGGGAAGACACCCGATCCCGTTCGTCATTTCTCCGCGACTAGCCTGGCCATGGGAGGCAAGGTCGACGCCAGCCGAAGGACGATAGTCGCGTAACTGATCGCGACGGTGATGCGTTCGACCCTGTTGCCTGTTAGATCATAGGCTGATCTTTTTCCTCGTTTTTCGATACGCTGGGCGTTGGGGTTGGCACTTTTTAAGGAATAAGGGGTTGGACTTTCTTGAGGTTGTGTTGCTGATTTTGTAACTATTGTCGGTGTGCTATCGATATGTTTGTTCTTTTATTGTTTGTTACTATTTTAGTTGGATTATTGATAATTATATATTAATAATTATATTTGTTGTTTGATTGCTGGTGTACGGTTGGTTCGATGCTAATTTTTTAGAGTAGAGGAATTGTGCTTTTGGAGTGGAAAGGGGTTGTAGAGATATTGGTTTAATTGAAAAGATTTCGTGAGTTGTAATTTAATTAATTTTTTTATGATTTTAGTGACTTCGGTGTGTTATTTGATTATTTTCTCATGAGTGTTTCTTAATTTTAGTGTGTTTTATGATTGAATTATTTAGTGTGCTATGTTGAAAGTTATAATATTGAGGGGTGTTATAATAAATTGAAGAGGCCGGAGCGAGAAAGGGGAGGTACAATTCTTTCAGTCAGACACAACACGAAACGTTGCATCACGCAGTGTCTCATTACACCTGACGCCCAGTCACACATACACCTTTTATTCTAATGGTTACAAACACGTTGCACCGTACAAGAAATCTGGTCGCCGCGAGAACTAGTTTCTCAAAAAATCGAACGACACAAATTCCTACTTCGTCTGTGTCGCTGAAAATCTTCTGTTTCATTCGCGAAGTATCATTGATTATGTCACCCTTAAATTTCGAAATTCCCTGTCAGATCATTTTCTTAAATCATTAATGCCCGAAAGATCATTCGGTCCATCGTTCCCATGAAATAAACAAGTTACCAAGTATCGTAGGTAGTCCAAATTAAATTTAATTCAGTGCTTAACACATTAACCCTCAATACAAACATAGACGTGTAATAAATAGTAAGAATCTATAAATAAGATACTGTAATGATAATAATAATAAAAGTTACTATTAAGTAATACATTAAATAATAAACATAAAAATAGTTACTATTAAATAATTAATTAAGAAATAAGAATAATAATTATAATTATGTTCCATAACGAATAAATTTCTTCCCCCTCGCAAGAAATTCCCAAAAATAAAGTAGCGTTCACAAATCCAATTTCCAAGCAAAAGTCCCCAATCGAAGGTTAAACAATTATCACCTTCATCTGATTCGCTCGATCTCTTTTCGCTTCCATCCTCCGTCCCTCTCGCGCAGCCCTTAAAAAACGTTTCTCACGGTTTTCGTCAGGTTTCAACAGTCGGCAAGAATCCCAAGGCCGCGCGAGGAGGAAATCATCGGTCACGCAATCGGGCGGCAAGAAATTCGTTCTTTTGTCGCGGGAAAAAATGTCGATCGAGTGCAATCGACGTTTACGACAGATTCGATTTGGTTCCCGCCTTCCCCCCTCGCCGCTGCCCGCGGACCTAACCCTTTTGTTTCGATTGTCAGCGCCGTAAGGAGACGAAAAAGACGCGATTGGACCAAATGTCAATGTCAGGTGTACCGGGTCTGTATTGGACAGGGCGTATCCCAGTCGCGCGTTCTCCCGACACGATGGGAGAACCCATGGAGCGAAACCTTTTTGCTCAGGTGCTATATAAGGCCCATGTGGCTAGGTGGTTACCATAAGACCGGACCAACGCACCTTGGCGAGTGCTGAGCTTCAGATAGCGCGCAAGGAGCCGACGTTTGTACACCATGAACGCTTTAGTGAGTATTGCTCGTGGTGACCATTAACACATTGAACGCCGGCTGAATTTCAGCTACTAGTAACGGAGATGTCGGTGATTATATTAATATGTCTTTTTAAAGTTTACATCAATGTTTACATCAATCAAACCGAAATTTGTAACTTGCGAAAAGGAATAAGGAATTCGATTTTGTCATTTTAGTTTGGATTTCTGTTATACGTATCTAAAATGTTACATTAATGTAGGACTAGCAATTAAACGGTAGACATGTGTTAATTAACTCCTTGGCCTATGATTTCTTTCTCAAATCTGATCGATACGGCTACTTTGTCATTAATAATTTATTGGAAAAAGAGAAAAAGTCTGAGCATATGTTATGTCTATATTTCCCTTTAACCCTTAAAATGCTGAGTGGGGTCCTATATGGAGACCCCAGTATGTTTATAGCCAAAATCAAAATAACGGTAATGCTTTTAGAATAGACAAATCATCCACAATACTTGACGATAAAAAAAGAGAAAATACATAAAATATGAAAAATTACAAAAAATTACTTACACAATTTACAGAGGAATAATATGTATTTTGAACTCGAATGAACTGAGTAATATGTATATATTTGTTGGATCAGGTTGAAAATGTTCACCACGAGTCTCACTCGTTGTTGTAAGGCAAGGGTTTAATTAGTTGTTATTTGAATCGTCGAAGTCGTAATTTGATGTGACTTATAGAAAAAGGATAAAGTAGAGTTAGTAATTAATTATTAGATTATGGATGTTGGATTGAAGTTATAGTTTGATGTAGTTTGCTGGAGAAGGATAATGGAATTTATTTTGATAGATGATGAATGTTAAAGTTTGTTAGAAACGATGAGATTCAATTAGAATTATTCTGTAATTCTCTTTAATTTAATATTTCTAGTATTGCGAAGCATTTGGTTTCTAGCGTTGAAGTTATTGAAATCTGATCGTATTAACATAGACTTTTCTTCAGAATGAAGCTGTTGGGAAAAATGTTCTCATCCAAGTCTCCCAGACTAAGACAAGCTTGTCAATTACAAATTTCCAAATGTTCTAACCCATTCTAAGAAACTAAAGTTCAAAGAGTTCTCTGATTCTCACCTTTAATCCATTCATAATTTCAAATCTGTCCATTTCCTACAAACTTCCCAGCATCCCCATAATCTTCACAACTCGTGCGTCTACTGAACCAACAATAAAATCATCGATCTACATTGCTTTCAGATCATTTTCTCCAGCATCTTGGCTGTAGCAGTCGCCAGGCCGGGTCTGCTGCTTAGCCCCCAGTTAGCTACCCTATCAGGCCCGATCTTCACGAAACTGGTCCCTGGAGCCCCAATCGGCCTGGACGGTCGGGTGGTGGACACACCGGAAGTAGCTTTTGCCAAGGCAGAACACGCAGCCGCCCACATCAACGAGAGGGTCACCTTAGCAAACGAAGCAGTGAAGTCTGCTGACCTGATCGCCTATACATCACCAATTTTAGCTACCAGCGATCTAGGAACCTTCGCCGTTGCCAAACTGGTCCCACCAGCGCCGCTTGGGCCTGATGGCCGTGTAGTAGACACACCGGAAGTAGCTTTGGCCAAGGCTGAACACGCGGCTGCCCATATTAATGAGAAGATCGGCTTGGCAGCCGAAGCTGGCAAATCGGTTGAGGTCCCTTTGCTAGTGTCCGCGTACTCCGCTCCGGTGATCCAGAAGTATTTGATCTGAGGAGATGAGGCTTTCGGGTTAGGCTATAGTGGCTGACGTTGGCTGACATTTTGAGATCCCTGTACATATGACTTCGGCTGGTTTAATAAAGCGAGTTTAATTAAATGAGACTGAATCTGGTTTTCTTCATTCTTGTCCTTGATCTGGATGTAGCTGGCTTTTAGAGGATCGGTTTGGAATGTATTGATTTCTCGAGAATGTTTTTGTTGGGAATTGCTTTGTAATTGTTGATGTTAGTTTATTGGGTTGATGGTGGTATTAATGATTCAATCAGGTTCTAAAGTAGTTTGAAATTTACACTAATTATTTAGCTTAAAAATTATCTTTCTTGACAATGAAGCTTTTGATTTTATTAGTATTGTTATATTTAATTAGAAATTCTTATGCTGTAAATTATTCAGTCGTTTTATACTCGAGACAGTGACTTTATTGTTCATCTCTTAATACAGTAAAGATAATCATATAAAATTTACATTTTTCGAAAGGTTCAAGTTAAGTTATCGTGTGTTGAAATGTATTTTCATCTTACTAAGGTGGACAAAGTGTCAAATGGAAGGTTGAGTATTGGGTGATAAAATACAAGAGACGACGTTCTAGAATATCCTTCCATTTTCCACAGAAAAATCCGGAAGATTCCCTTTGAAATGTTATGCAAAGAGGCGAGTTTCGTTTGAAGTTCCCGCATTCGGAGAAAGATCTACTGCGCAGACCTGTTGGCGATTCGATTACTATGCGCAGGATCAAATGTACGTATATATTCTCGTTACTGTCGGCCCTTATCGCAGTCTGCCTGCGGCTGTCGAGGCGGGCAAACAGCAGATAGGAGAAACATTTTCCACTATCACGTTTCTCGTCCTTCTCATTTCTATTCATGGCAGAGAACATTGTTGAAGCAACGCATCGAAATATTTCAATTTCTCAGGTTACCACATCAACGAAGTTTTTAATAAATTTGTATTCTCTAAATCATTGTTCTTACAGTTTGACCACTTTGAATATTTGAGTGGTAGAAATTTCCATAGAAGCTTCAGGTGTTTCGATCTGTACAAATTTTGGTTCTTCAATTTATCTAATGATGGGAGTCTTAGAAAATAATATAATGATAATAATTTGAGCCTTAAAGCCTTGATTTTTGAGAGCTTCGAGCATTGAAAATTGTAATCTTTGAAAGTTTCAGCTCTGAGTGATATTTTGAATTAATTTTATAATCCTTCGAACCTTGAATCCCTCGACAAAAATTTGCAACCTCTCGAACTCAACTTTCAAAATTTCAATTTACAAATTCTTTTATATTGAAAATATCATTGAAGTCTTCACTCCTATATTTAAACATTTCTTATTCTATTCCTTTCGATTTTAAGTTCTCCTAATACTAAATAGAACTAAAATTTACTTAATAAAGCAACAGAATAATAAGAAAAATCTTCTATGGAATCAAAAAATTCTGTCAATCACTTAAGAAAACTTCATAAACGTTGAAAATCAATAACAAAGGAAGATAGAAAACAGATCAAGTATAAAATCCAATTTCAATAGAATTTCGTGTTTCTTAATTGACACCAATCCTCTTTCTTTTTTCCTCGTTGACAGCCACTTAGAGCAAGGTTAACGAAATACGATTATAATGATTGAATACTTTAACACTGACTTCTGGTTCAGATATGCTGCGGCCTTCGGCAAGGAACGCAGCTTGAGCTGACGAAATTACAGTATTCACGGTCAACTACTTTGTTCCTGAACCCCAGGGCGTGACGCGTGTAAAAATCGTTACGACACTTTGTTATCATCGACGTATGGTCTGATTGTACCACTTAACGAAGCCAGAAGTCTGTTGTATCTAGATCGAAAGGAAGAAATAGCGAATTTGTGTACATCTTTATGCAATATGCAAAATTCTTTGAACCTTTTAACGTTTTAACTGTGTTCGACATGTATATCCGTCACGAGAAGATTAATCATTGAATATCGATGATTATAGGAGAAATAATTGATGTAGATAAAATTGATTATCTTTTGCTATGAATATTGAGATTTTTGTAACGTTTTAACTGTATTTGGCGAGTATATTCGTCAGGAAAAAATACTGATTACCTTTTTCTATAAAAATTGAAATTTTTGTAATACTTTAACGATGGAATTTCATTTTAAAATTCTTTATTTTCATGTGTAATTGGAAACAAGGGATGACGATTTAACTCCTCATTCAAATTCAGTTTCATTCTTCAATGGTTTATTTTCTTTTTCAACCAATAAATAATTTTTATATCTAATTAAATTACTATACAGTGTTTAGTGTATTAATTTAACCCTTTCAGACCTGATACACTAATATTATTAGTCACACATTATAATTAATATTTAATATTCACAATCTCCAATATTAACATTTAATATTTAAAATCTTGCTTTAAGCCTATTTCTATTAAAAATATGGTACACCACATTCGAAATACCTGTTATAACTAGTATTCAACATCAATCAACATTCAACATCAATCCTCTGTTGTAAAACAACTGAGGTTTTGTACAAAAATCAAGCTAGAAGGGGTTAATTCGCTCACGTTCCGAGAAATCACAGTCAAAAGCTTAATCTTCGCGTTCTCATTCAATAAATTTCGTTTAATGACACCCGCGACGCAACGAATGAGCAATTTCTATTATTCTCTGTCGAAATCGAACTGTTTCTCCCGCTCGTTAAAAAAGTAACAGCTTTCTAATGTGGCTCGTACGCATTACCAAATCGTTTTCCGAACATTCAGACGCGAATTGACAATTCTCGACGACGATTGCGACGGATTATGGGACGAAATTGTTGCCCAATTCTTCGTGCAACGTGGTTACAAAAAATTCTCACGGTTTGCTTCCTTTATTTCGCTGCGGTGTTCCTTTATTTTCTTTCGAGATAATTTATAGAATACATTGATCGGAGTGCATCATTAGAATTTTCTTTTATTAATTATTTTCTAATAATATATCGTCGTCATTTAAAATGACCACTGATTCTGGATACATTTTATTTTAATCGCGAAAGTAGTGTTTTTTAATGGAAACAATTTTTGAAATAAAATTTGAGATTGTAGGGGATCATTGGTTGTAAAGTAGTGTCACGTGAATCTTGTTGCTAACGAACGATCGAACGTTAGTCGGTGCAATATATCGCAACAGCGAAAAAATATTGGGAATGCATTCTCGGTGGAGACTGTCCTTCGGCCTCGAGTCCTTCGTTCGTTCAGGGTTGCTAAGTCGTTCGACACTTCCACACGCCTTTGTTTAAATGCCGAGCGATTCTGAACGCATTACCGAAATTGGAGAATGATATTATTAAGAAAAGGAAAAGTGGAAATGGAATGGTAATCAAATGGAACACTTTGGTATATGGAATAAAATAAGGGAATTATGTGCGTGACGATTGAAAATTATTTCAGATGTGTATTCTAAATGAAAGTGCGTATTATATGCATTGCTTGGTGTATAGAATGAAATAAAGGAATTGAGTGAATGAATGTTGAACATTATTATTTATTTTATTATTTATTTATTAATGCATTGTATTAATTGTTGTATATATTACTAATATTATTATTTCTACTTTTATTTCTACTTCTACTTCTACTTCTACTTCTATTTCTATTTCTATTTCTATTTCTATTTTTACTTCTACTTCTACTTCTACTTCTACTTCTACTTCTACTTCTACTTCTATTTATATTTATATTTATATTTATATTCATATTTCCTAAAACTATTATTTGATTAATATATATTCTAAATGGAGATACACGTGATATATTTTATTTGAATTCAGAATGAACCTACTGTAAGAAGAAACGTATCATCAGAGAGAAAAATTACAATGCAAGTATCTTCCCACTATGATTAGGATTTCCCTTTCCCAGATCTAGTTCCATAGAAATATGTACCGACTGTAACTTCCTCCGGCATTACGCCAGCAGGCTTCTCACGCGTAACATGTGATTTCTCATATTAAAAACAGCCAGAAATATAATTTATGGCGGCCGATTGTATCTCGCTGTGAAACGGAAAGGTGGTATTAATGCAGTAAACAACGATGGAAGATAAACTTTGTATTTTTATGTGGGTTATGGCATAGAATAAATAATTTGTTTTATTGTAACGCAGCTCTTTAACGATTCGAACTTCAAGCATTGTTATGCGAGCCAAGCGTCTACGCAAAATTTCCTTGATCTGTTTAGACAGGATATTAATTTAGAGACCTTAGGGAATAATTTGAACTTAAAAAAATCAGAATTGCCACATAGAAAGGTAACCAAAATTTATTCCATTCACAATTGGCGATCTAAGTATTCGTATCACTCGAAACTGATTCCAGTTTTTGTCACCTGCGAAAAATTCTAGTGATGTCCCGTGAATTTTTTGAGCAGGATATTAAACTAGGGACCCTAGAGGATAATTCGAGTCCAAAAAAATCAAGGTCATTCCACGGGAAGGTATCAAAATGATATTTCCTTTCCAACCACCAACTAGAACACAAGTGCCATTCGACACTGATCCCAATTTTAGTCACCTGCGTAAAATCCTAATGATTCAGGCTACGTTTTATAAGTTCAAATTATTCTTTAGAGCTTCTAGTTTAATATCCTGTCAGAAATAATCACGGAAAATCACTAGAATTTTTCTCAGACTCATGAAACTGGGATCGGTTCCAAAAGTAGATGTGTTCAGGTCGGCGATCGGGAATAAAATGAGTTTTCGATACCTTCCCATTGAATGATTCCGATATTTGTGAGCTCAAATTATCCCCTGAAGTCCCTAGTTTAATATCCTGTCCAAAAGAAATCACGGGGCATCGGTGGAATTTTGCGCAGGCATCTGGAACTGCGATCGGCCCCTGTGAAGCATTCCGCGCTGACGCAAAAACTGTAGCACCTTGAAAACTGGAGTATAATATGGTGTAGCACTTACGATAGAAAGTTATTCAATCAGTTCTACTTTCCCTGGTACTGCAATGATTATGCACA